GGTCCGGACTGGGGATTCGAACCCGCCACCTTAGGTGTACGTGGCTGGCGCCTTAGCCGGTTGAGCTATAGGTGCCGAGCCGAGAAGGGCTTTCTTAATGGCACCTGGAAGTCATATATGAAAACCCATATGGCTCGGCACCTGTAGCCCAGTGGTAATGGCTGGGGCCAGCCACGTACACTGAGGCTGGTGGGTTTGAACCCAGCCTGGGCCAGCTAAACAACAATGACAACTGCAACAAAAGATAAGTAGCTAGGGGTGGCGTCTATGGTTCAAAGGAGTAGGGCGCCAGCCCCATATACGAGAGGTGATGGGTTCAAACCCGGCCCTGGCCAAAAACTGCAAAAAATAAAAAAAAAGGAAAGAAAGAAAAATAAAATAGCCAGGCATTGTGGTGGGCACCTGTAGTCCCAGCTGCTTGGGAAGCAGAGACAAGAGAATCATTTAAGCCCAAGAAGAGGCACTCTACCAACAGCAACATAATGAGTCTGTCTCAAAAAAAAAAAAAAAACTATAATCACAATGCCATATAAAAAGTGGAGTGGTTTGATTACATAAGACTTGTTATGGGGGAACAAGGAGAAACATGAAAGTTCTCTGGAAAGGCTCCGTGCCTGTGGCTCAAGCAGCTAAGTCACCAGCCACATATACCTGAGTTGGCGGGTTTGAATCCAGTGCGGGCCCGCCAAACAACAATGATGGCTGCAACCAAAAAATGGCCGGGCATTGTGGCGGGCCCCTGTACTCCCAGCTACTTGGGAGGCAGAGGCAGGAGAATCACTTGAGTCCAGGAGTTGGAGGCTGCTGTGAGCTATGATGCCACTGCACTCTACCCAGGGTAACAGCTTGAGGCTCTGTCTCAAAAAAAAAAAAAAAGAAAAAGTTCTCTGGAAAAACACAAATATGGGGCACAGTGGCTCATGCCTGCTGGGAGGTGGAGGTAGGTAGATTGCCTGAGCTCACAGGTTTGAGATGGGCTTGAGCAACAGCAACCTGTCTCTAAAAATAGCTGAGCATTGTGACAGTCACCTGTAGCCCCAGCTACTTGGGAGGCTGAGGCAAGAGAATTGCTTTAGCTGAAGAGTCTGAGGTTGCTGTGAGCAATGATGGCATGGCATGCTACTAAGGATGATGCAAAATGACACTGTCTCCAAAAAAAAAAACAAACAAAAACAAAAACAAAGAAAAGAAAAAAGAAAACACAAATATGAGGGAGCAGAATTTTTATTCCTATTACAGTGATTGCGCCAATGCGCCAATACACCAACACTAGGAAGTTACTAGGAAGTTTTTGCCTCTTGCAAGGCAAGGAAAGACATTTGAATTTTGTTCAGATTAAGTAATGCTAAGACTGGCCCTTTACCGCTCTCTGCACTAGAGAAAAGTTAACCTGTTTCTCATATATGAAGCTCCAGGCTCCAAAATTTTTTTCTTTTTTTTTTGAGACAGAGTCTCACTTTGTCACCCTTAGTAGAATATTGTGGCTTCGTAGCTCATGGAAACCTCCAACTCTTGGGCACAAGCTATTCTCTTATCTCAGCCTCCCCAGTAGCTGGGACTACAGGCACCCACTACAATGCCCAACTATTTTTAGAGAGGAGGTCTGAACCCTGTGAACTCAGGCAATCCACCAGCCTCAGCCTCTTAAGTGCTGGGATTACAGGCGTGAGCCACTGCGCCTGGCCCCGCCAACATTTCTATATTGAGGGGTGGGTGAGTTAGGGATGGCAATTGGTGGTGGTCAGGCTTGAAAAAGCATCTGCATAAAGTTAAGAAAACAACTTTTGTATATCAGATGGGCATTATATATAGGACAAGAAAGGGTTTGAGGGACTCCAAAATCCCTCCCCCAAGTCTTCCTTTGTTGCTATCACTGCTCCTTATTCTTGCCCTTTTTGCCTGACTTTCTGCAAGAGAGAGTAAAAAAGGAAATGGGAATGTCTTTGAGTTCAAAGGGTGATGGATCACTATAGGAAAGCTACTATATATTAAAAACTTTTTACAGGCCTGCAGGATGGCTCGTGTCTGTAATCCTAGCACTCTGGGAGGCCTAGGTGGGTGGATTGCCTGAGCTCAAGGGTTTGAGACCAGCCTGAACAAGAGTGAGACCCTAAGAGTTGGGCGTGGTGGCTCACACCTGTAATCCTAGCACTCTGGGAGGCTGAGTGGGTGGACTGCCTGAGCTCACAGGTTAGAGAACAGTCTGAGCAAGAGCAAGACCCCCGTCTCTAAAAATAGTGTCGTGATGGGTGCCTGTAGTCCCAGCTACTCCGAAGGCTGAGGCAAGAGAATTGCTTGAACCCAAGAGTCAGAGGTTGCTGTTAGCTATGATGCCACAGCACTCTACCAATGGGGACAAAATGAGCCTGCTCAAAAA